GACCACTAATTTTTTCAGCAGATTACGTCCGTGATCGCAGATCATTGAAGCTCCCCACTTGTAGATTCACTCTTATTTCAGGATATTTGGACCCCTAATCCCGTAATGCATTGCACCATATGCTTTCCTACATGAATGCACAGTTGGAGATAAGGCTGATTAATTTTTATATGATTAGGCCTTGATTCTCCTAATTGTGTATTTGCAAGGTGTATAAAATATTCGTCCTTAAAGGCATACTCAACCCAAAAATGATTTCAATCATGATTCACTCACCCTCATGCTGTCCCATATATTTATGGCTTGCATTCTTCAGATGAACACAGATTTTTATAAAAATTATCCATCTCTGTGAGTCCATATAATGCGAGTGCAGTGCTGGGTAGTAACTGATTACATGTAATCTGATTACATGATCAGATTCTGAAAATTAAGTACTTGTAATTAGATTACGAGTATTTTAAAATGAAATATAATCAAATTAAAGTTAGTTTTTTTTTATTATTACGTGATTACTTATAATTCACACAAGTCTTTGTCTTTGGAAGGCTTTTGTCTTTCAAACATATTGAAATGCATATATTCATGTTATTTCTTATTTACATGGAATAAACCTTTTTTTTTTTTTTTGGTCAGCCAAACCTCTCTCACCTAATATATTTACTTGAAATAGCCCCTGAGATTTTAAGGTAATAAATGAGCACATTTGCATGTTCATGGGTCTCTGACATTGGTTAATGGTCACATGACATGCAGGTAAACAAACAAACAAATAATCTTTTTAGCAAGTGTTTTATTTTTATGTTATTTTGAAATGAGTTATTTTAATTTAGCATTTTTATGTTTTAATTAAATTTTTCATTCCTCAGTTTAAGAAACCTTGATGTAATGTTTAATGCACTTTTTGTTAATAACAACAAATGGAAAATATTTTTATTCTCTTTGTATTTTTATATGAATATCCTATTTTTTAGGTGAGTTAGTTCAAAAGTAATCTAAAAGAAATCAAAAAGTAGTCCGATTATATTACCTAAATGTGTAATGTAATGGATTATGTTACTGACTACAACTTTTATCATGTAATTTGGAGTCAGTAACGGGCTACAATTTGTAAATGAGTTATTTTAATTTAGCATTTTTATGTTTTAATTAAATTTTTAATTCTTCAGTTTAAGAAACCTTGATGTAATGTTTAATGCACTTTTTGTTAATAACAACAAATGGAAAATATTTGTATTCTCTTTGTATTTTTATATGAATATCCTATTTTTTAGGTGAGTTAGTTCAAAAGTAATCTAAAAGTAATCAAAAAGTAGTCCGATTATATTACCTAAATGTGTAATGTAATGGATTATGTTACTGACTACAACTTTTATCATGTAATTTGGAGTCAGTAACGGGCTACAATTTGTAAGTAATCTACCCAGCACTGTGCGAGTGTACGGGTTCCTCAAAGTTGATGCTTCAAAAACCACACAAAATGACCACGATGGGAATCCATATGATTCACATATTTTTCTCATAAAATATAATCACAATTATAATTTTTTTTTGTCATTTTATTTTATTTTTTTTTCTTAAATATTTCATCAGAATTATTATTATCAGAATTATTGCACTTTCACATAAGCACGAATCATGAGAATGTCAACTCGCATGGTACGCTCGCAGATTTAGTCAAGTGGTGCAATCGACTGCGTGAAAGAAAACAGACTGGCTGTAGTACACTTTTATTTGAACAAAATATATTTAAAAATACCAGTGTTTTCAGCTCATCAATGCTTTTTTCCGTACTGCAGAGAGAGTACATGGTTGGTTGAGTACACCACATGATTGCCAGGTTGGAAAGATTAAGTAAACGACTGGACAGAAAATGTATCCATTTAAGAGAAACGCTCTAAAAGGGGGATTTAAACTCTTGACATCTGGCAACCACAACCATGGAAGTTGTGGAGGCTAGTTAGTTAGTTTTAAAGAAAGTCATACATTTGGGATGCATGAGGGTGATTAGATGAGGAGAGAATTCATTTTTGGCAATTCTCTGGGTGCTTCAGAATTTGCGGTGTTGTTTTTGGTGTGCAATGTGTCCTTGCTAATTATTTAACAATAAATGCGTTTAATTAAGTACAAGCATTTGATTTCTAAAACCACACTGCTTCGGCATGTCAAGTGTGACATTGCACAAAATTGTTTTTGTTCTACACTGACGTCTGATCTGATGTTAAATGCATCTGCAAGAACATTTCGTGCTATGAAACATAATTAAATTTAGTCTACTGTATGGAATGTTTTGTTCAAACTTTTTCTGTCTCTTTTCATCCACATCAGCAGAGCTGTGAATATAGCACAGTGTTTATATTTGGGTTCATTATAAAATAATCAGTGCACTTGATGATGAAGGAGCTTTGATGAGGCACTCTTCAAAGTGCACCATTGCACAGGATTCCTACCTGCGTTATAAATGCTGAACCAGTGCATTGTAGGTTTTTGTTTTTGTTGAGGAAAGTATTATTTAGTTTGTGTGTTTGTGCAGACACGCATGTCAGTGGGAATGAATTTGTGAACAAAGTGAGCATGACATGTCATCTGTCTTCAGCGTTTGACATTGTGTTATAATGAGCTTGGGCTGCCCGAGGTCTTAGATATTGCCTTCTGCCAATGTGGGCAAAGAGCCTGAATGTGTTTGATAACCGGGAAACACAAACACACACAAAAGAGAGGTGATTTTTTTTATAGTTTATTAACTCAACCTGTTGCCACAGTAATTAGATGTACCTCAGGGTGAGTCGAGGGATATGGGAGATCTGTCTGTAATCTTCAAAAACACAGTGGAATGTAAAGGTAGAACGTCACTCAGAGATCCAGAGGTACTTACACTGAAATCCATTATGTCCTGGAAAAAAAGATTGTATTATGAATTGGAGACTATTTTGAGGCCTACAGTAAGATCCAATCCAAGTTCATCAGAACATTGGTAAAAAAGTTTGTAATAAGACTGATGAAGTATCTTCTGCAATTTTAAAATAACTTAAAAAAAATACCAATTAAAAAAACTGTTTATATGTGAATATATTGTAAAATGTAATTTATCCTGTGATGGAAAGCATCATTACTCCAGTCTTCAGTGTCACATGATCCTTCAGAAATCATTCTAATAATTATTGGTGCTTAATTTATTAATAATGCTTCTTATTATAATCAATGTTAAAAACAATTTTCGCTGCTTAATATTTTTGTGGAAACCGTAACTTTTTTTTTTTCCAGAATTCTTTGACAAATAGAAGTTTTAAAAGAAAAATATAAATCTTTTGTAACATTCGAAATGTCCTTTCTGTCCCTTTTGTTCAATTTAATGCGTCCTTGTTGAATTTAAGAATTATTATTTTTAGTCTTATCCCAAATATTTGAATGGTAGTGCATCAGTTTCCACAAAAATATTGGGCAGCACATCTGTTTTCAACATTGATAATAATCAGAAATGTTTCTTGAGCAGCAAATCAGCATATTAGAATGATTTCTGAAGATCATGTGACACTGAAGACTGGAGCAATGATGCTGAAAATTCAGCTTTGATCACAGAAATAGATTACATTTTTACGTATATTCACATAGAAAACAGCTATTTTAAATTGCAATAATATTTCACAATATTACTGTTTTTACTGTATTTTACATTAAATGTATTCAGCCTTGACAACTTCTTTTGAAACATGTGCAGATAAGATATGATTCTGCATTAGGGCATTTCAGTAAAACAACCTTTTCTTCTAAAATGGTGACTGAGTCACAACAACCGAGTACTTTGGCTGTGAGTTTTGCAAATCTGTTCTCATTTTTGTTCAAAAATCTGGCTTGTAATTGACATTGATTTGCACTCTCCCAGCCTTTCTCACACTCCGTTGATGTTCTGAAACATTTTATTTGATATGAGAAGGCTGCTTTCATCTTGCATAAAGAAAAATAGCTTTTGTTGAATTGGTTGACAAAGTGAGGAATGCACAGTATTTCTGTAAGCCATATTGGTTTTTGGCTGCTAATAAAGATTTTTCTGTATCACTGATGTTGGCTATTTAATTTTGCTCAGACCCCAGATTTTACATGTAGATTTATCTTTGCAGTCATCTAATGCTCACTCGTGAAGTGGCTTGATGAATGCAGTTTTTCTCAATGTGTTGATGTATTTCCAACTGAAACAAGAAGTCAGGGTGGGATTGAAGATCTTGTTCCTTTTTTTTTTTTTAAATATCCAGTAGCATTTCATTTACATTTAGAGCCAGGCAAAGCTGCATTTGTGACAGCCACTGTTGTATTAAAATGTGTCTAATAGATTCCCTCTTTAGATTTGATATAAAACTGGTATTTTGGCTTTATATGTGATCATCAGACACTTGTATGTGCCATTATAATATTAACATTTTATGAAAATCAAGCTCAAATGGAGTTACGAGGTTTTTGACCAGCGAATGCCAGAGATCTGTGTTTGTCCGTTATTAACGGCTGCATGTGAGGCTGCATTTTCATCAACTTACAGGTTATAACGTTTATTGTAGCTATATGGTTGCACAGTTTTTGTTGTTGTTGAATACATTTAGCCAAAATCTCATGGTATAAAAGATGAAGTGCTATGCACAGGACAGTATATTAGCTTCTCTTCGAACTCGCTCTTCAAACAAACACACAAAAAAACATTAACTTTTATAGACGGTGTTTCTGGAGTAAAGAAAACGCTGTACTTATTCAAACATCAGTTCTTTATTTATCCTTGCATTGCGAATAAGCAGAGATCGGAGTTACGAGGTTTCGCTGACAGTCTGAGGATCCGATGGCGTTACGAGGTTTAGTCACAAGCTCTTTTGAGCCATCAATCCCATTACCAACACATCAGTCTGATTACAAACCTAGCTACTCAGTGTTTACAACTTGATGTTAAAGTGATATGATTTCTGTTTTGGTGATCCCAATTCACAATGCTAATTATTTTGTCTTTAATGTGCTTTCAGACGGAGCATGAATGGTGAAAGGTGGAGAGCGGCAGATTGCTGATGTCTGCGTGGCCTGCATACTGTCTAGATCCTCTTTACAATCTGAACTATTGTCCAGCATCTGGAGACGCTCTTGAATAACCAACATGGCTACTTCACTGTGGAAACGTCCCTTGGTGCATGGGCTTGTGTTAGCCGTGATTTTTATACAAACTTCAGAAGGTAAGACCCTCTAATGATAGTGGCATTTTTAGAGATATTGTACAACTGTATTCAGTGAATGTGGAACACTTTCCAGCACAACGTGTTAATGGAGGCTATAGAGACTCTGCTGTAAATGGCTCTAAAAGACAGTAGTGTCATTGTTTAGCTCACGTCCGTTCAGATTAATAACAATGTCAAGTTCATCTGTTTGAAATATTGGTGTTTTTGGTTTTAGCTTGCAAATTGAATTTGTTCTGCTTTGATTCTTCGATGTGTTATTTCATAGTCCTGCGCAGTCGATCCTCAAATTGTAGACATGTCTGTTGAGTGCATGAACTCAATTGGCAATCAGAGTTAAGTTAGTCAGAATTCACTCAAAACGCCAGAGATCTGTGCTCTCGTGGATCCTCTCATTATAACAACGAGGTTTGAACATGATGTAAATAATTCATTTTGCAGTGTAGGTCAAGTCATGTTTCACAGCAAAATCAAAAGACAAAGTAAATGTAACAAAAATGTGTTTTTCATGAGGGATAAGTGAAGTTATTAGTGCCTCAGTAGCTTGCTTTACTTTGAAAACTTTTTTAGTGTAATGAAAAGAACATGTCAAGTACATTTTTAAAGAATACATCAAGTGTGTTTTTGCTCTACAGAATTGAATAGCCTAAATAACAAAACAAAAAGCAATCGCATACTCTCTTTTGAATAAGTAATTACTTTACGACTGTTAAAAAGTATGTTCTGTGTTGTATGAATGTAATCCGGCTGTACTACATTCCTCATGTTGTCATTGTAGTGATCTACCTGCGTCACTTTGCTGTCCTTCACAAATCCTCTCCCATGGCCTCATGGGATAGTAAAGTGTCCTTTGGATTAGGGCCGTAACCATCATAGACATTGAGGAGGACAAGTCCCCCCCAATAACTACTAATGGCCAGACTACCCAATATCTGAAAGTCTTGCACTGATCTGCTGAACTAACTGTTTTTAGGATGACAAAAAGTGTCATTTTTAGGCTGGTCACAGCATCAGAGCGTGACTTCCAGCGCAAAGCATCAGTTTAATGTTGAAAGAGATTTGAAGAGATTTTTGAAGTTGCAAATCATTTAATACTAGTCAACTGTTTTATGATAGAAATGTTATATGGCTGACAGCTATATCCAGTGATGCAAACTACTCAGCTTTTTTTTTCTGAAATATGGCCATTTTGAGAGAGAGATGAAAGTTGCGTGTGAGTGACCTGCATCAGCGTGTCTGTCTCTACAAACTGTGAGTTTAGTTACTTTAGTTGATTTTACCCCCTTGTTGCTGAGAAATATAATGTAGTGATTCAGTATCGAAGCTATTTTATTAATAAAAGTCACTTGGCAGCGTTGACAAGAAGTTTCTGTGCTCCTGGATGTTTCTGTGTGTGCGCTGCGCGATCGCCGATCTGTGTGTTTGTGTGTGCGCTCACACGTCAGTTAAAGGATTAGTTCACTCCAGAATAAATAAATATTTCCTGATAATTTACTCAACCCCATGTCATCCAAGATGTCAGTCTTTCTTTCTTCAGTCGAAAAGAAATTAATTTTTTTTGAGGAAAACATCCCAGGATTTTTCTCCATATAATGGACTTCAATGGGGATCAACGGGTTGAAGGTCCAAATTGCAGTTTCAATGCAGCTTCAAAGGGCTCTACACGATCCCAGCCGAGGAATAAGGCTCTTATCTAGTGATCTACCAGCGTCAGTTGCATCACTTTGCTGTCCTTCACAAATCCTCTCCCATGGCCTCATGGGATAGTAAAGTGACATGATTACGCAGTTCAGTATCTTGCCTACTGTTTTATGAATACTGTGCATTTGGACATAGTACTATTTTCATGCCTACTATATTGTAGGAAGGTATGCAGATTCGGATGCAACCAATGTGTTGTTTTTCTTTTTGATTTTAAGGTGAAAACGGCCAAAAAAATTGGCTCTTGGCATTTCGCGATCCAGATGCCCCTCTTTTTCCTGCTCATACTCTATTTTGCTGCACTATATTATGAACAAAATTGGCAAAGTCAAAAATGAAAAGCTACAGAATCCAGTGTGTGTTGATGTTTGCATTGCAATTGAGATAATTCGCTGGATTTGCTGATTTGACCAACTCTGAGAGAGTATGCAAAAAAAAGAAGTGTTAATTGTATTGTCTATATTGTCCAAAGGAATAGCAGTCCTGATGAGTCTGATTTGGTGAAGCTGATTATGTGTGAAACGGTTTCATGCTGCACTTGTCTTGTTTTGTTTTAGCGTTTAGCTCATGTCTGAAGCATGCATATGTGACACGGCTATTATGAATTATCAGTGCATTGCCATGGGGAAAAATGTCCACAAGCACACCAGAGATATGATTTATCCATCTGACACACAGCTTTGCCTCAATTTCAGTCATCCATGGAACAAGAAAAGCCATATCTCCAGCCACAAAATCTGGCCAGAAAGAATATTTCTCAGAGCAACACGTATTTGCTTTTATGATCCGGATTTTAATGTGTCCTAGTAAATTCATTTACGTTGATTCTCCAGAAATGCATTGCATGTCGCAGGTCTTTTAGCGAAGGCTCTACTAACTACTACTACTTTTGGCAGTTGGAGGATTTATTTTCCCCTCAAGATGAGTTCAGAAGAATTTTTCTTTCCCTTAAATGCGCCACTTTGATCAGCTGACACATAATACATTTTTATCTTTTGATTTTGGTTTATCTTTTATAACTTTGGGAATTGGGAGGTTTGGATCTGCACTCAGATCTTTGTACATCACTGTTTGTTTTCATCTGGCATTCATCTTTGAGCAGCGAGGCGCATATTTCTGTGAGTTTCTTGTGTTCTGAATGACTTCTGGAAATATGAGATGATTAAAAAAACTGGATTTTTGTTTTTTTCAAAATGTTCCACACAATTAACCTCAGCTGAGTGTGCATTTGATTTATCTGTTGAGTACTCAAATAGACAAATTGGCGCAATTAAGACCACAGCGTTTTACTACGGTAAAGAGTAATCATAAAGGGTCATGATCCTACGGAAATTTTCCTTGATCTTTTGACATGTAAGAGGTCTTTGTACCATTACATGCTTTTTTATTTACCAACCAAAAAATTGGTAAAAAAAAAAAAATTACACCCATCATTTTTAAACACATTTTTAATTACATTTTAACTTTGCTATTTTTCCTTCAAAAAAGGCATATTTGACTTTTTTTTTTTTCTCTGTGGTATTATTAAACTTCTCTTATGCCACTGTTATTAGTAATATAACTTCTAATGGCAACTGCCAAATATAACACAAACAAATTAATACAATTTATGAACGCACATAAGAAAATGTTTTATTTTCTTTTTATTTATTTATTTATGTTTACACATCTATTTAAATTATTTATTTTTTGACCATCAAGTGTCAGTCACTCTCAGTGCCAACTGGCAGGAAAACATTGTAAATTCTAACATTGTTTTAGAATTGCAGAGTGCAGACAATTCTTAAAACTATTTCCACAAAAGCTATTTTTTTTAGAGTTGAAATTCTGTGTGACGACAGACTCCTCTCCATCCTGAACTTCAGACTGAGATTGTCTTCTGAGCTATTCTGCTAAGTGTCTGAAATTTGCGGTCTTTTACTTGATGTTAAACAGCGCTCCATCGAACGCTAATGCACACTGTACAATGTGCCCAGGGTTGCCAGGTCCCAGAAAAATTTCCAGCCCAAAGCTTACTCAAAACCCGTCCAAAAGGAATGAAAACTAACCCAATTTTTGCCCTGTCCAATCACAGCGGACAGCTGCTTTATTCCATTAATGCCCTTTAAAATAATCATTTTGATTTTATTTATTCTAGGCCTATGTTTTGAATCTTAGCAAGGCAAGTTTATATGTAGTATGTGTATATTAAATGATTTAATCTCTATTTTATTTATTTATTTTATTTTACCCTTTCTTTCATTAGAATTTTAAGCACTTTTCAAGATAAAATTAAAAGGGCTGGGTGATATGGCCAGAACTATTATGACAATATATATATTTTTTCCATATCATAGCAATATTTATCACAATATTCATTTACCATTATTATGGAAAGAAATGCTTTGAGAATGCATGTAAACATAACTTGTTTTTTTTAATTAATTCTTTCAAGCCAACGTTTAATTTAGGGCCCCATGAAATTCACTTTTTCTCCTAAATTTGTGTTTTCCATTTTATTTATTTTCTGATTTATGATTTATTACAAATTTATCATGAAAAATTCTGTCTAATGAAATTGGTAATAATATGATAAACATATAACAATTAATTTACAACAAAAACGTTTTATTTTTATTTTTGTCAAGTAAGATGATTCACGACAAAACTCTGTGTTTGATATTAAAACATGGATGAAAAATATTTGGGTTGAATGATATTCCTTACAAATAATAATAATAGTATTAGCCTATTATTTTGAGAAGTACATTATGCTAAATCATTGTAGCTAATATATTTCTGTTAAAATTTCTTCACGTTTTTGTCATTATAAAAGTAGCCCAAAAAACCACAACCCGTGGCTCTGCAATTTTTCCCGCGACTGCATTTTTATAATAGCTATAGCTACCAATTTTATTACTTTATTTTTATCATTGATTCTTTAACTGTGAAATATTATAACCGCGACATGGCAACACTGAGATATTCCTTACAAATAATAATAATAGTATTAGCCTGTTTTATTTCTGTTAAAATTTCTTCACGTTTTTGTCATTATAAAAGTAGCCCAAAAAACCACAACCCGTGGCTCTGCAATTTTTCCCGCGACTGCATTTTTATAATAGCTATAGCTACCAATTTTATTACTTTATTTTTATCATTGATTCTTTAACTGTGAAATATTATAACCGCGACATGGCAACACTGAGCACACCTAATTAATCCCTTCCCCATAATGTCAATTGTTTATAGGCCACATATAAGGCACTTTTTTTTTATTAAGTTTTTTAATGTTTATTTTTCAATGTTAATGAAAGTGA